TTCGAGAAGCTGAATTGGTTTACCTTTATGATAGCAACGATTTTGTATTTAATGTAGCGAGATTATTTCAATTTAATTGAAGTGATATAATTTCCCAAAGCAATGCTTGAATCGTCTAGAATAGATCAGTGGTGTCAAACTCATGGGTTTTCGAGAGCCGCATTGCATTTTGAAAATTGTAAAAAGAGCCGCAAACAGTTTTTGATAATGTATACTTAAAAGATATTTTTAAGATAGTTTTAGTTTGTGACATATATTGTGATGCAACTAAACAGTTGGATTAAATTTTATTATTTTCTTCAATTTCAAATGCAATTACATAATAATATTTGCATTCCACTATTATTGCAACATTTGCAAGTTACAGTATTTATTATAAAAAATCGTAAAATTCTATGTACAACCATCAAAATCATTTTTGAACAAGCTTTGAATAAGGAAAGAATAATACATACACTAAAAATAACTTAATCTAAATATATGAACCTAAAATTAACAAAAATACTACAGTATAAACTCAATGTTTTAATAATTACATTTGTCCTGGCGTTTGGCATCTTTTTTGTGTCACCAGCATACTAAGGCCAGTCTGAAATGATTTTATAGTACCAACTCTAACTAACGAGGCCACATGATCATGGGTTTATCTGGATCTTTACGAATGTTTAATTAATTCCAGTAATGCAAAAAAGTTACTTTTATCATTTCATGTATAGATCAGTAAAAAAACAAATGACGGATTTTTTCGACAAGACATTTCGCACTACATTGCGTGGCGTAGGATTGCTTGAATTATTATTGATATTGATTTTTAGTAACTAAGTCGTTGTATAATTATATTAATATACAAACACATGGAAATTTTCTGTTCGAAGTTGGTCTTCGAATTTGTCATATTGACTGCTTAGCTTATTGTGTTTTTTGATTGTATTGATGGAAATATGACAAATTAAACAATGTGCTTCAGAATTTTGTGAAGAGCAGAAATGTTACAACTCCCATTTTCTTTGAAAATGCCACCTTCTTTATGTACTTTGCGTTTAATTTAATTACTCAAGTGTTTTATTCAAGTATTCTTTTGCTAGCTTGATGTGTATTCTTAATTGGGTCAAAATGTGGACAAAAAAAAATAATATTCCAAAACTACTTTCAGTAAATTGTTTTCTGTGTGAATAATCAATTTCACTTTAGAAGGTTTGAAAAATCTATTACATTTAGATAAAAAAAAAACTTCCAAAATACTATTACAATTATTGTTAAGCGTTCGAGGGCCGCACTGGAAGTTCTCTGGGGCCGCGAGTTTGAGATCCCTGGTCTAGATTGAAGTTGTTCAAAAAATATATGAGAGTATTTTATCATGAATGATGATTATACCCCTTCCGGAATTTCTTCTATAGTACTACCAAAAGTTGATGAACCAAATATAACACAGGTGCAGTGAGGTACCCGTAATCCTCATTTCCAAAGCTGTTTTGAGTATGTCTGGCGTGTTTTGTGCCTTTTTACAAATAAGACCGCTTATGCAATCTTACGCTTTGGAATTTTTAGTTATTTTCCTCAAGCCCTGCAGGATGTGTGGGCCATAAACAACTCTACCGGAGGGTCAAATGTCTTTGCATGCCTCCATAGGTTGTTTTTCTATTGCAAACATTATATTTCTTGGAATCACACTGTCACTGATATGTCGCCAGACTTCTGATATCTCCCCGTCTGCTATAGTTGTCCTGTGAATAAATAATAGGAAATTGAGATTAGACGAATAGTTGAAAGTTTTGCTTTATGTCGGCTTAATTTCTTGATTGATATACTTACTATTTCTGCTATTGCCTCTTGTACTGCAAGAGTCTCACAAGGCTTAGACAGGTTTGTCCACAACTTTCACATCTGAAGAAAGAGAGGAGATTTATTAATTTTCGTTAAGAATAAATAAAGCAGTCTATATGATTTAGAATGGAAAAGCTAATAAATCCAATATCTCATGTTTTATGTAAAAAATATTTTACTGAATTTGGTATATAAACCAACTAATAAAATGGTTTAGTCAGAAAATTACAAGCATTCGTGGCTCCAAATACTTGAGAAATCAGACTATACAATATAGACCGGTATGAGTGAAATGTTAGGTGAACTTGTTAACACTTTGATTCAATACGCAAATAAAAGTGAATGCGCAATAGTATGTTACAATGAGCAGCAATCAACAATGAGTATATATCCTCACTGATTAAAAAAATCTAACTGGAGGTGCATGAACTATTTGAAACCATAAGGGGTAAGTAAATATGTAATTTCGGCAAATGGGCAACTACGTACCGTACTGAATTAATAACTTCGTAGTATTTGACAAAGGCTGGCTTTCCCACATGTACTTAACAGTGCGATGCCCGGGTGTGATATACAACAATAGTATTCACCTTACCTTTTACCGATTTCTTTTTACCCCAACTTTCAAAAATATCATTAAAATCGACAACAACTGTCAAAGCAGGCACGAACACCATTCGTGCTACGCCTCGAAAGCAGCACACATCCGCTCGTTTTCGTCTCGTCAAGTATGTGCATTGGAGCGTGCTATCGAATACGATCTTCGGACAAAAATGCCGGAGTTGCGCATCATGTTGTTTAATGTCATTGGTTATTACTGCTCGATCTTGCGTTGAGGTGGGCAGCCTTTCCCGGTATGTTAGTCGTTGGCCTTTCCATAGCCCTGTTTGGTTATTATTTGTTAAGTTATGCTAAGACGTTGTTGAAAAGTATAAGTAAGTTATTAAACACTTGTAGATCCTTACCACGGGTATGGGCCGTGAGATGAATCCTTGAAAACGCCCAGAAAATGAGTTTCGTAGCGCACACCTGGTAACTAAATAAATTCTTCAGTTTTGTGTGAAAATGAACATACGGAACGCAGTACAGCTCGTTCCACAATCCTGATGCGAAATTGAATATAAGAGGTTCACGGAAATTCAATAACCATAAGTTTACAACACATACATAAGAACTATGCAATTCGAGAGCCCTACAGCACACTAACACAAATGTATTCCTGTAACGTTTTGCCTGACCAAAATCAGACTTCCTCAGTCAATCATAATTTATTAGGTAGATTACGAAAGATAAGGCATACATGTACGATGTAACCAACAACAAAAATACTTTAATTGTGTGACAGGAGTCGCGAGTGACCTCGAAAGGTCGAATAAATTTTATGTAATAACCACAAGCAGTTTACAACAAGAACAGCATAAAAATCTACATCCATTTTATAGAAGCTATCGAACGAATTTATTTTTAAGCAATGAAGTCACAAATTAACATCGTGAGCACGAAAACACAAATAAATCAGTTATTTCTTACTTAGAAATTTACCGGAAAAATCAAGAAAATTTGTACATAACATAGTGAACAGAAATATTACAATTAGTCTTTTTTTAGTTTATGTGGTTATGTATTTGAACAAAGACAATATTATATCTAGAAACAGGACTACGACACTAACAAATGTCCGAAAAAACAAACAAATAAATGATACTTATTAAATCAACTGCAATATCTAATTCACTTTCTTCTGAATTGTTTTCGAAATCCACTATCTCGAAAATCGACTTTTCCTAAATAAGTGTACTGTGATTTTTGCAGTCAATACAAAAACAAAAATCTGTGCAATTTAAGTTGATTTTGCCACACTTGCATAAATTATTTTGACTATTTTTCTTACACTTGCAGTTTGCCAACTCACGAACTGATTTGAGGGCCACATGCTTCTTCAGTGAATCATTGTTGGGTGGAGAGAGTATAATCCTTATGTTTGCCAGTGTTAAATAGACGTGCCCTGGTATCATCTACATTTTTCATATCCTCTTCATACAGTGAACGCACAAATTCCTCAGCTTTATTTATTAATGCCTCGTTAACCTCTTCATAAAAGATCTTCATAGTTGAGAAAAAAAAAGAATTGAAAACCTCAATGAAGTCTCCAACATGAGTTTGATGGGCAGTTCCAATTGCAGAAAAGTGCTGAAGTATTTCAATATGAAAACCCCTCTAAGCTGTTTGCAACTATTATGATTCTCATATACCTTTACGCTTCAAGACTTCTTGTTTAATCCATTTTATAGCACTGATAGCAGCAGGGATTAGAGCCTGCGTTAGATCGGATTGGTGGAACATTGCCGTTTTCTTTTGTAGTACAGTATCTAAAATGAGGAAGAAAATCATATTTTGAATAGCATGAGTGTAAAAATACCATTAAATACTAACTAATACCTTGAATACATAATGCATTTTATCTGATGTACTCAATGAGCGTATATATGCTGATTGCATGTACTACAGTCCAGCAGTGTTTGCATACCAGTACTAGACTATATCTACACTAAATTTTGATATATCACAGTCTGAAATGCCCTATGAGTTTGGACTATAGACTATATTTTAAAACATCAACTGTCTGTCTACAACTTGATTTCTCACCTCTCAATCGCTTCCAATGCTACTTTCTTTCCACGGCATAACTTATCATTGCTTCCCAGGTTCTTGTCGACCTTATGAATTCAGATTTAGACCAACCGGCATTAGTAAAATTGATTATTTTCTTCTCTTTCACACAACCGTGCATTACAGAAACAGCCATTAATTTCTATTTCCAAATATGCTGTGGCCTATATAGTAGTATAAGTCTGCTGAATAGTCAAGAAGAGTCATCAAATTAATCATAAACATTTCATGCAAGCCAGAAAATATCGTTGTTTGTGACATATTATTCTAGGTCTAGCCTTCCTTGGAGTTACCGCACCGTACCTATTTAACAACGTCTTATGAGCTAGTGCTCAACTAAAATTGCTATTTATGGTAAGGATATACAAGTGTTTAATATCTTACTTATACTTTTCTCCTTAGAATAACTGAACTAATAATAACTGAAAAAAATTATAGAAAGGCTACTCAACGCAAAAGCGTTGCTACGTTGCGGCTTCGAAGTCCAGCACGAACCTCTTCACATGTGCACCTGAAAACAAAGAGTGAGTAAGTTGTTGAGTACATTGAAGATGTGAATGTAGACCGGATGAATGTATTTTCCGGCGCCGGGACATGAGGACAAAGACCAACGGAATCTGCTCAGAGCACCCACCGCTCCTGATGAAGGTATGAATGGAAAATTTGGTAGAATGCCCCCTTAACCACATCGAATGTTCCATCCATGAACCAGGTTTTTGCTTTCGACAGAAGTGACAGCTGTTTTCTCGTTGAAAAGATTATGTGACGTGCGTCGTTGACTATTGCATTGTCAATTAAAAAAAATTTTGGGAATGTGTTGATGTTGCAAGGGCTCCTTGATTGTACTTGGGTCTGACGGTCTGTTGTTTTGTCGCTTTATGTTGCACAATCTTTTCAATGATTGCTCCTGTAACAAAAGAAAAATTTGTAACATACAATATACCAGTACCGACTATAAATACACAAAGTCAAGTAACTCACCTTTACTGCGCCAATCTGCAATCTACCCCCTGCGATCTCTTTGCGTGCCATTTTAGCCACAATCCCACAAGCTGTGTAGAGATTCTCTAACCCCCGTTCCCCCACCAATCTTTTCAGTTTTCTATGTTGTCGCTCGCCGACCACAGGGCCATGTGAATGGGGCGCTTCCTTTCTGATGAAATCATCGTCGGACCTTTGCCGGGCAGACGTTCCCTTTCCGCCTTACGGAGCATCTCCAGGCAACTGCAAAATAAAATTGTTAGGTATTAGAAACAGGGTGATGGAAAATGGAACACTCTGTAATTAGTACGGACGTACCAGTTCCATTCGCGTTGGTGCGATAAACTGTGTAAGAGTAGCCACCCCTCTCGTAAAACTTCGCTTTACCTCTTTGGCTGATGGCGTCCTCGATAGTGAATCACGTTTCTTCGACTCTTTGGCTTAACAATTCTCTCGGATTAGTAGCCTCGATTGACGATTCATTAACCACTGACGGAATATCTGGGAATGCGAATGCGACGTTGTCCTGTGTAATATATTAATAATGTTAGTTTATTCTAGCCTAGATAGGTTAACAAATAATCCATAAAAAAAGAAGACAACTCACCCTAGGTATTGGGCTGGTTTCCGAGCGGCTTCTAGGTTCCATCTGCTGGGATGGAACAACTGGGTTGGAGTCATGATGAGTGTCCTGGGCCTGGTAGCAGTCAAAGCACTCCCACTCAAACGTAATGTCCTGTTTTTTCAATAGTCTGTACTGTTCCCTCGTCATTGCCACATCTGAATTATTGAAAACATTTGCGATGGAACCAATTTCGACAGACGTCACAGATTAGTCCCTCCTGCTTCATGGAAACATTGTCGTCACATCTTTTGCACATATTTGGAGTTTCCATCTTGAAATTCTTGAGTAGTTTTTTTAGAGTTAATATATCGTACTCGTGTCAGTCTAAAACTGTGATGAAAACGACCTCGGCTACTGAGTATTTACGTTTGTAAGGTGTCAGGCCGGCGATAATGAGGCTGTACACTCCGAGCAGCGATACCCGAGAAGTAATCTCGGCGCGCTGCTTCAATATCGCCGATCTGGCACCTTATTTAATCTCTGTGCATGGATATCACCGATTTGTATACCTTATCCATTCTTCGGCCCAGTTTCTTTGCCAGGCGCAGCGAAAGTGCCTATCTGTACCTGGTTTTCTTCTGCAAAAAAGAATTTCCAACTCTATGACTGGGACCTTGTCGTGGTAAGTTGGCTTACAACTAATATCAGTCGGCACTAGGTAAATTATATACAAGTAGAACTCTTGAGCATGCGTTTTGCACAGCAATCGCTCGCTCGGCGGTGTGGCTCAACGGACTAAGCATTAGGAATACGCTCGCCACCGCACCTCTAATTACTCTGCGTGGGTTCGCAGGTTCGAATCCCATGCAGGGATGGTTATGTGCGAGAGGATTGCTGGACTCCTCGCCGTCGTTGGGTGGTTCACGTAACCGCTGGTCGGTTACGGCTTCCTCCACCACCAAGTCCATGCTTCCGAAAACAAACAATATAACTAATCCCATACCCGAATTGGAATGGTAACCGGACGAGAGGCCGTGGCACGCCATATGGATAAGCCGTCTTATCGGCTTTCCTCTCCCCCGGGATAAATATGTGAATCCTATCCTATCCTGTATAGTAGTCTTCTCCTCGAGCATCGATATCGCAGAGCGATGGACCTTTTCCCTACCTTTGACCCCCGAAAAAAATTCCTCCTATACTTTACCATTGCAAAATTCAAACTCCTAGGAAGACAGAATTATCATTGAATTTATTAATTGAATTATTAAAAATATCAAAAACGCATTTCTATAGACCTAAAACACCGCCGTAGAAAATGCGAAAAGACGAACAACTCAGTGAACTCACCAGGCCTCTCTGTAGTCGAGTTGTCTCTGGTGAGTTGTCCGTGTAGTCGAGTTATCCGCATCCCATTCTAATTACTGTATAATGCAGTAATGTAACGGGGAAGTATACGCAGATTGCAGTATTTCAGAGCAATAATACTTTTATTTTGTTGTAAGTAGATGCAAAGGTGAGTTCTGGAGTTACGGTACCGGTACCATTAAATTATTATGGCAAATCCTTGTTAATAGTAGTACGGTACGGTATCGACCATGGACTGACTATTTCAGTATTTTGTGGAACAGAAAAATAATCATCGCTTAAAATTTTAACAAATGGCGAGCGAGGACTATTTCGATCCTGCGATCTGAATTTTTGTATCCAATTTTAGATACAGAACAAAATTTATCTGGCGATTTAACGCAGTGCAATTGTTGATTGTTTATTCGCAAAAACTTGGGGTCCTTAAATCAAAGAAGATGATGACTTGAGATTGTACCTGACTAAATATCCACAAATATTGAAAAAGCAATGTAAGGGGGGGTGATACCAAAAAGTTTGAGAACCACTGCTCTAGGCCACAATTTTGGTTACGCCAGCCGATATCTCTATTCAACGGTCGGCACGTTTGATTGTGCGAATTGGTTTTCATGTAAAAAAACACGTTATCAGTCTCCATATCTAAATTCATTAGGTTTGCTTTTCTTAAAATCTTGTAATCGCTGTAAATATATTTACGATAAACCCTCAGACCACCACAAAATTGTGGGCTAGAGTAACCTTGGTGCTAAATGGTGTTGCTAATATAATATATCTATATTTTCATTTAGCAGTCTATAAACTATTTTTCATTATATTTTTCACTTCAAGATTCTGACACTTGCAACTCTTCTATTCTCAAAGCAACGCCTATTTCACATAGACTTTTTTGGGGTCTCATGTAGTTTCGTACCTAACGTACTTCTAGTGGGCGTAGCATAACAATTTTTTATAAAAATATTTCAAATCACTATTTTGTTGTTTTGTAATTGAAAAATATCTTATTTTATATAAATTAGTTCAAGATTTTACTATGTCGAGACAAAGTTCTCACATTCCTGATTCACCAATCTCAAAAGGCAGCATCAAATTAATGCAGCATGACAAACGCCTTGTACAGCCATCTGCACAAGGGAAGAGAGATGTTGTCAAAGTTGCTGTTGAGGTGAGGGGAATAAGGCAACTTTATGAAATGGATCAGACTAAACGACTTCAGGATATTATCAAAGACCTTTGCAAAGGGGATGCCAATTGGCAAGATTATTCTTTACAAGTTATAGATGAACATGAGCAATATATAACTGAAGCGAATCAGCATGAAGTAAAAGATGGAACAATGTTAAGACTTGTAGCTTCTCCAAATAAAACCGTTGTAGATCTTATGCAATGCCTTCGTCAAAACACTACCCCTTTGGAGGATAAGGTGAATGCTTACAAACGTCTTTCAAAGATTTCAGCTGACCCTACATTTGCTGATATATTCATTCAGAAAAAAGGATTACATTTTATTCTTGAATCAATTGAAAAAGGAACATGTCAGGGTGATTCGCTTGCACATGGTCTTGGAGCTGTCATCGAACTGTTGGATCATGGTACTGTGATGTATGATAATGTATTATCACATGGGTTTATAAGAAAAGTCTCATCGTTTGTGAAGGATTCATCAGAAAATGATGCGACTATACTGCAAAGGTCACTCGCTATATTGGAAGCTGGTGTCATCAACAGTCAGCGATTGTATAATGAAATATCTCAGGAAATCACTGCTATCAATCTTACAACACATGTTCAAAGATCCAACCCAGAAATTCAACATAATACAATTGCTCTCATAAATGCTTTACTGCTTCGGGATCCAAATGAAGGCACAAGAATCACAGGTCGTAAGAAAATTTCTAACCCAATGACACAAAAGCAATTCAGAACTGTAATTCTCAATCATATTATTAGAACATCTAAATCTATTAGCTCTGAGATGGCTCATCAACTATATGTTCTGCAAGTGTTAACATTCAACCTCTTAGAAGAACGAATGAATACAAAGCTCAATCCTCATGACAGCGAACAAAGATCTCATCTGTTCGAACTTCGTAACATAGCTTTTGATTCGACTAGTGAAATTGCACCTTCCCCAACATCAAAGAGGCCTCAAAATATTTCACAATTCAATCCTGTTGATTTCAAGAAGTTAGGTTTTGAAAACTTCAACAATCCAGTTTTAGAATTTGAAGTATTGCCACCCGGAATATTTGCTCTGGATTGTATGAGGTACTTTGCGAGAAATCAACAAGATAACTATGTCAGACTTGTTCTGGAAAATAGTGCACGTGGAGACAAACATGAATGTCCATTTGCTAAAAGTTCTGTTCGGCTGGTGAAAATGATTTGTGAGATTCTAAATATAGGAGAGCAACCTACAGAAACAGGAGAAGATTATTATGCAATGTTTTTCACTCATGATCATGCAATTGAAGAGTTTTATTGCATCTGCATCCAGCTGCTCAATAAAACATGGAAAGAAATGAGTGCTATCAAGGAAGATTTTGATAAAGTTATGAGTGTTGTCCATGATCAGATTCTTATCGGATTAACGGCACAGCCACAACCCTCATCTCTCGATATTTTCAAATCCAAGTTATACAACTACTCTGAAATTCTCAAAATAAGACGGCGAGAAATGCTTGAAAAGGAGGAATTTGATTCTCAAGCGAAACCAGTCCTTGAACTGCAAAAAGAACTCAAGCCTGAAATTTTAGACCTAGTCAAAGAACAAAGGTTGAATGTGTTAAAGGCAGGAACAGTCTTTCACAAAATATCTAGCAAAAAATTTCGAGAAAAGTCTCACTGGTGTTGCCGACTCTCTCACAATCATAAATATCTTCACTACTGTGATGTAGACAGCAACAAAGACAAACCATCAATTGAAGAAATGACTGGCAAGTTAGAGATAGCGGATTGTAAAGATGTAATTTTTGGTAAAAGTTGTCCCCACATGAGAAATCAAAAAGTTCATAAAGCGACTGCAGATCTTGCATTTTCTATTTCTTATGATCCTGATGAATTTCTCAACTTTGTTGCTCCAGATAAAGAAACATGGATGCATTGGGCAGATGGGATGAATGCTCTTCTTGGTAAACCGATGTCAAGTGATAAAGCCAAGTTAGATATGGATATGTTACTTGCAATGGAAATGAAGCTTCGGCTTCTTGAGCTTGAAAACATACATATACCAGATCACCCACCACCTATTCCCCCACCACCGGATAACTTCAATTTTGCTTATAATTACTAAATATCTTTACAAATTTTATTAATCAGAACAGTTGTTTGATTATTGGCCTTAAAAACATATCTTTGTCCTAGCATTATCTTTTAATCCAAATTTAGTAAAGCAAAGATGATGTTTAACTTTAAATCACTTTGGTTAAAGCAATCATAATATTATTACTATGATAAATATTGTATCAATTATTATTCATATACTCAAGCTTGTTCCACCTACATAAAAGATTTTTTTAATTTTTTTAAAATGATTCTGCAAAATTTAATTTGAATAACAAATATGCTATGATGCTGCAGTAGCTCATTTCCCTTTGGAAATTCACTGAAGCCTTTAATCAAGCATTTTCTATTTTTCCTATACTCATGTGTTGTTCATACTGTTTCTTGTTGTTAAGCGGAAATAATCCAGAACTTAATATATTTCAAGAATCTTTGTATCAAAATACTTTACTGCTTATGTTTCATTTAAATATTGAATGAGCAGAAGTTTTGTTTAAAACCTTAAATGTTAGTTATTTTATATCTTTTCTTTAGAAAATTTGTTAACGAATTGTTACTTATCAATTTTAATCGGTAAGTATGTTGATAGGTATTTGTCTGTCTGTCTGTTAGATGCACGCGATATCTCACGTAAGCGAGATTGAATCTGCTCCAGATTTATGTAATTTTTACCATATTTTAGGATATAAATTTGCTGCATTATTCCAAAGTGCCGACTCGTTGATATGGTGTTTTTCATAAAAATGTGCACTAAGCAAATTTGCAGGCGCACACCATTTGTGTCCTGTATATTCATGTATTATTTGGCTAATGAGTTTATTTTTTATATTATTTGCATATATTGTATTAAATAACCAGATATGTCGTTTCCAATGCTTCATGATTACCATATTTTTAATATTTTTAGTTGGATTATTGAACAAAATGGTGATAACCAGTTAACATTATATTATAAAAGTAGCAAATTCCTTAGTGTATAGTGAGTTTGAAAGTTTAGGGTCTTGAAACGCATAGGCCCCTGCCCCCTGGTATCCTGCATCATTTTTGAATGGCCTGACTTTCCTGCTTGGTGCCGAAGTGCAGCATTTTTTAAAGCAATTCTAATTGCCCAGAAGGTCATTTTTAGGTTCTAAGTATTCGATTCAATATTTCTTTTGGTAGTGTGAGTTACGTGTTTGTGTCCAGATATATCAACTGGCGATTCCCTGAAGCGGAGATGGCCAATACCGAATAATTCACTCTTTCGAATAGTAGTAACGCTTTTATTTTTTAGTACGTACGAAAATACGAATCAAAAATTAATCAGAATCGGGCAGTTCACCACACATTTTATGTCCAAAGATTGTCGTGTTATTTCAATATAGTTATGCTTTTATTTTTTTGCAAGTTGACGCAACCATGAAATACGTTTGACAGAATTAAATTTGTACGGCAAGGCATTTTGAATGCTGGTATTGGCGATGGATTTGAATATTTTGCGCAACAGAAAATCATCCTAGTGAAAAGTCGATACTTTTAACTATTATTATCAGAATTATTTGCCAAAAATAGCGGCAATGCCTACCGTGCAAGGATGTCCAACAATATGCCGCGAACGCTCGCACAGAGGATAAAAAAATAATCAAATTGCCGATTCTATTTCATCGTCATTACAATAGGTTTTACATTGCATTATGAAAGATTTCCCTCGAAAACGAAACACCTTGCTGGAGGCAAAAAGTGGATATTATTCGAAAATTAGCCGAAAACGTAATTCGATTCCTTTTGGACAACCACGCACCGAAGGTAGCAACATTAGCATTGAAGCATTTATTCATAAAATTAGGGGAAAAAAGTGGATTCCGGTAACACGACAATTATGAACTATAGAGAGGGACATATAACGGCATCGGACGTTTCGTTGATATCGATAATTGTATCGGCTAAAAACAGACCGATATATTCATCTCTTTGGTCGCATGTTAGATACAAGTATTATAGAGCAGGGATGGGCGAAAATTTTTCGTGTCTCAAAAACTTTGCAACTGCATTACTCTCCATGTTTTCATATGCTTGTGAATCTTGGTTCCCAGTTATGAACTTTTCTCGTAATGGGAGTAGCCCGAAAGATGAAACCAGTAGTTCGTGTATTTCTCTGGAAGCTATAAGATATAAATCCAATGTAAAATTTTCATCAGAGGTAATGCTGCAGCATGAGTCTCACACTGATATAGTATAAGAAACGTAATCAAATCTATTTGTCGGACTGATATTTTTCCGATTGGCGAATCTGGCTGTACACGTTTATAAGGTTTATCTATTGTGCATCTCTGCTTTGAAAGTGGCAAAGCATTGTTTTTAATTTTGGTCGGTACGCGGAACAATTTTGTCGTTAAATTTGGCCGATGTTGGCACGTTGGCTGAAAAAGGTAGCCAACCCCTGGTATAGAGGGATGGATCATTCACCAACTTTTACGACCTTTCTACATGTAGTATAGGACAGGGGTGGCAAACCTGGATCAGAAATTTTATTGCGAAAAAGAAGAACGTGAGCCATAGATTTTTAATCAATGTCTGCGCCACCGAGAAACATGCTGTTGAGTTTTTTCTCAACTTAGTTGGTGTTGTGTTCTTGTACTCGATTTTATAAAATTCATGCGCCAAAACATATATAGCATATTGGGTTACATACAACTAGCAAATATATTTTGCTACAGACACGTTTTCGAAAACGTTTATAGTAATGCGACAAATTTTTGATGGTTTTAAATAAGTTTGGAAGGGGACTCAAATCTGATAAAATTATATTTCTCTGATTAGATTTTTTGCTCCGGAAAATATACGATCCACGTCCGGTGTTAACTTCTAGAATTCCATGCCATAATATTTTCATTCAACCTAAACAAGGAAGGTTGTACGTTAATTTGTAACGCTTTTATTCCAACTACAATTCTAAGCAGTACATGGCATTTGATTAAAAAGAAAAATTGATAAAAAACATACATTATATAATATATTGAATTATTTTATTTCATCATGATCATGAATAAATTCAATTTGAAACCGACAATAGATAAAAGGATACATGACACGCGGAGTTGGCGTTTAACTGTACAGCCCAAATTTAAACATCTTCCGTCGTCGTCGTCACAAAAATTCAAATTAAGGAACAGTTAGGATATTAGCCTGAACAGTCCCGATTTTGACAAACTCTTCCGACCGGTAGATTTAAATGTACCGGTCATGCTATTGTTAAATTCAATGATAATGCAAATTTTTATTTCGTAGGCAGCCCACTGATTTGCCACTCACTTGACTCAGAGAAAACTACTACACTAGTGGTTCTCAAACTATATAATTTGTCAAGTCTCGCGCCCCACCTAAGAAAAAACTAGCTAATAATAAGCCACAAATAGCAGATAGTAAGGCGAAAATGTGGTTGATAATATGTGGATGGAATCGCAATCTCTAAACAATAACGAAATGTAAATATCCAAAATAAAATCTAACAAATATTTTTATTTTTAATTAGCTTCACGTCCCCTCAAAAAATTGTCTACGCCCTCCGCGTTTTTAATACGTCAATATAACATTTACCGGTAGCTATACTGTGGTTAAATATTAAAAATGCGGAAAACAGATTTCACGTTTTCCAATGATTTGAAAATTACTAACATTCATGAGTTGGATATTACATGGGCTCCGAACCGAACGAAGGTTTGTCCAATATCACGTTTTTTGTTTTATATATATATATTTATTTTCATACTACGTTATTTGCGGGTTGTCATGTTATTAGATATCTATAGGTCGACTGTAAAGACTGTTCGCAGACAAATATTTCATCCATCCCGTCCGGTGAACATTGTACATACATTGATGGTAATTAGGCTAAATTTTATCGGCAATCGGAAACATTGGTGTTGGTCCATTCTCGCCGATATCGGTGTAAAATTTGATACAGGGACATCTATATTACAAACGTCGTCGAAAGAATATTTTATTCGCCTTTTTCCTAAATGTGTTGATGCAAGCACGTCATTTTCTTATCCTTATTCGATTCTGTTTATTAATTGACGCCTCCGTTATACGCGTTCGCCTTCATAAAACTCGGTATAAGCATTATTTGAACAAAATAATGTGATTCGTGGAATAAAATTTTCAATAACATATGTATCACAGGCTCTTCTTATCAGGCAAATTTCACCCATTTCGTCGCTAATGACTACATCCTAATAAAACTCAAAGGGAAAATTTATTAAAACGTTTTTCAGTGGTATTGAATGGACGAGTGACGACTGTGCGCTACCTGCGAAAGAAAACCTCTATAACTAAAAGCATCTGTAATCATACAAACGTTTAGTAGTGTAGTCAAAATTGAGTTTATTTAGATTAAGATGTTAGAATTTCGACTTCAGGCGGTTACGTGAGGGCGACGTTCCAACGTCAGCTGTGGCCCAGTGACTTCCCTACACCCTCCCTATAAGGGGTGAACACCCCCCCCCTAATTTTGAGGTGCGATTCCACACTGTAATTCCTAACCCAATTATAATTGTATTCAAATATAACGATTTAACACGGGTGGAACACTAACTATGTGATTCTTTATTTCACTTGATGGGGTTTTCAAAATTTCACTCTCTTCACTGATTGGTATTAGAGATGTACCGACTACCGATACCACTTTTGTCGCCGATACCGATACGCCGATACTACAAAAAGGCCGATATTACCGATACCGATACTATGTAATTATTACTTAATTAGGTATGCTGTGTAGGGCAGACGGGTTAAAACAATGGTCTTTAAGCGTTGTTCATAGTACACATTATTTCAGATCGAAAAAAATATATATATATATATCACATAATATGAAATTAATGTTTGGTATCCATATGCTGTAACTGATTAAGATACATTGTACAGTAACGCTAGTAATCTCGGTGTTCAATTAGAAAACTCATAAGCCGGGATGTCCAATTTGAATTTAATGTTAATATCGCGAGCTTCGAATATCGTTATTCGTGTTTAAAAGAATATCGATTATCACCCACACATTCTAGCGCCGCCGTCCTACGTTCAAATTGAAAGCATTTTACAAATATTTAATTTAGTGGCTAATCGTAATCGTCGACGCAATAAGTCAAAGCCAACATGAAAGAATATCAATCAGCACCGACATGTTTTTTTACTTCACTATTTTATAATATTTTACAATTGCTATCTTATATTTTGAGACAGTCTAGGGCAGGGGTCACCAACGCGTTGCCCGCGGGCACCAAGTCGCCCGCGAAGACCATATTAGTCGCCCGCAGGTCTGTCCCAAACTAAGCTTGATAAAGGCTCTTTTAGGTAAGCTACATCAATTATATTTTGTCCTGCTATTTTAGTATAAATCACACTTATATGGGAACTAAAAATGGCACTATATTAATTATTGTAACCATCAACCTTATTTTTATTTGACCTCAGTAATGTGACGGGTCAATTAACACTCTTCCAATTATGACATCACACTGAGATCACTTTCCACGAACCCGCGCTTTTTCTTGTTCGTTGGTTAGCGGAGCAGTAATAATACAATTATTGATTCCAAAGAAAAATCCATCATTTTCACGATGAATGGGAGGTGGATATATTTATACCACCATGAAAACAGCCTGCGTGTGTCTCATTTGTGGGGCGATTTTAGCGACGGCAAAGCGGAGAGGTATTTCACATCTTGTCGCTTAATCTTCCGCGCTAACTACACACTGGTCAGCACAGTACGGACAGAAAAAATCTCGCGATTCAAATCATACAGTAATCCTATTTTACGAGGCCATCGTTTGTTTCAACCTATCCTTTCGAATCAACATTTTTGTCATAAATTCAGGATAGGAGATTTACATATTTATCCCGGAGGAGAAGATAGCCGATAGGACGGCTTAACCATATGATAAACCACGGCTTCTCGCCGGTTACCATTCGATGTCGGGTATGGAATTAGTTAGTTATTTGTTTCCGGAAGCCTGGACTTGATGGCGGAGGAAGCCTTAACCGACCAGCGGTTACGTGAACCACCCTACCGCGGCGAGGAGTCCAGCAATCCTTTTGCACATAACAATCCCCGCATGGGATTCTAACCTGCGAACCTAACGCTTAACACGATGGGCCATAGCGCCGCGACTCACTCCACCAGGAACAAACATGGAACACGCCTCACTGATGAAAATCTGCAAGACTCGCTCAGAGTTACAGTGTCAAGTTACACGTGGGAGTATAATACTCTGCAACATTCGATAGTACAACTGTTAAGTCCATTTTATCTTAGACTTGTGCAGAGTGTTGAAAATCAATTTGAAAACACTCAGTTTTGAAATACAAGTGTAATTGATAGAAATTTATTTGCAATGTTGTGATAATCGTTTGATTTCCTGAAGAATCCTAAAGTTTATTAGTGTCTATACTTCACTAAATA